GATGTCTGCTTATCTCACTTGCCATGAGGGTTGCAAGGCTGAGGGTGAGACTCTTCCCTGTGAGTGAGTGAAGTGCTCCTCTTAAGTGAACTGACATTGTGGGAGGAGGAGGAGTAAGACCCGGGGTGCTGCCAAGCTAAGTAATGTACTGACGCGACACATTTCCATACTGCCTTTCTGCTTCACTTAGATAATTACTTTCTTGCTATATGTTAATATATACATAACATATATAATATATATATATATATATATATATATATATATATATATATATTAATATATATATATTCCGCTTTATAACATTAGCAGAATATCATATAAATGAATTTAAATCAAGGTATTTACATTGTACATTTGATGCATCACGCTAATGTGATTTCTGCGTATATTGAAGTGAGGGCGAAAAGGTAGAATGGCTTGTTGGCAGAGCCCGAGTGCATGGGGGGAATTGAGTTAAACCCGGGTTTGTCTCGGAGAGGCTGCATGATCCGTAGGTCAGTGGAACTCCCGTTTACAATTCTTTTAATTATGTCGTGGCCTAGTCGACTAAGGCAACTTTTTGATCATCCCGGGCGTAAGTTCGAATCCTCATCACGGCCCTTGTGGATTTGTTTATTTAGCTAGAATTAACGAAAAAGCTAAAAACTTATAATAGGAGTTATATGAAAGCCGCCAAACTTAGACAAAATGATAGCAAAGCATCTGTGGGACGAAATATCTAAAGAATCTAGGTCAAACAGTATCTGTATCATAGGTAACTTTAATTTTAGTGGCATAAACTGCCTTAACAGAAAAGAACAGGGAATAATGAAGCAGAACTTTTAAAAAAATAAATGACGATTGCTTCCATAAGCAACACATTGAGGAACCAACGTTTAAAAATTAAATTTTTTACTTAGTGTTATCTAACAGGGAAATGCAAATTAATGACATCGAAATAGGGAGCGAGCTAGGGAACAGTGATCACAAAGAAATCAGATTTAGCATTGAATGAAATAAATTTATAGGATAAAATTCTCTTATAGTGCCAAATTTTCGAAAAACTGATTTTAATGGTCTAAGAATTTTTTAGGGTGAAATAGATTGGAAAGTCCTGGGCATAGGAGGAAGGTTTATCGTGGAGCGCGACGTCAACCAAGTGAAGGGTGATGTAAAATAGGATTTCGATGTGGATTATGTAAGTGCAAATAGTAAAACTCAAGCCAAACAAATCCCCATTGAACAAATCGTCCCCAGGGCTGGACGAAGTGTTTGCCAGGGTGCTTAAAGAATGCAAAGAGTAGCTTTGAGAACCATTGTCTACCATATTTAATAAATCATTAGTCAGGCAGAGACCCAGAGACGTGGAAGGTAGCTAATGTGAAACCAATTTTCAATAAAGGCGATAGAACACTTGTCAAACGATCGGCCAATTAGCTTAAAGTCAATTGTGGGAAAGTTACTTGAATCGATAATTGCAAATACCATTCGTCTTCATCTGGAAAAACATAAATTAATAAATGATTCACAACATGGTTTTGCAAATGGCCGTTCATATTTAACAAATTTGCTATCATTTTATTCCAGAATAGTTGAGGCAGTTGATATTGGTAAGGTTTTTGAGGTTGTGTACCTTGACTTTAGCAAATCTTTTGATACAGTACAATGTGAAAGACTGATTAAAGAGATAGAGGCTTACTGTATTGGGGGTGGGGGGGGGCTATATTAAGTTGGATTAGGGCATGGCTATACCAAAGGAATCGGAGTTAGTATAAATGGGGTTAAGTCAAAGTGGGAAAATATTGTAAGTGGCGTGCCTCAAGGCTCTATCCTGAGACCTCTGTTATTCACAATATATATAAATGAGTTAGATTCAATTTTTGAGCAGCAAATATTTGCAAATTTGCCGATGGTACAAAAATCGGGAGTGAAATTAACACGGAAAAAGATCCACTATCACTTCAAGATGATCTAAAAGGGGTTTTGAAATGGTCAAAAGATTGGCATACGCAGTTTAATGCTGACGAACATTAATGCCTCGAAATTTAAGGTTTCGAGGCTAGGTAATGATGCTAGAGTTACAAGATACAAGCGAGATGGTGTTAAGATTGTTAAATCGGATTGCGAAAGGGATCGGGAGTTATGATTAGTAAGAATTTAAAACAAAGAAAATCAGTGCATAAATGTTCGTAATTAGGCAAATAGGACACTGGGATTTATTTATCGAATCGATTGCAATAATACACCTAATGTTTTTCTTCAGCTATATCTTGCGCTTATTTGGCCCCATTTCAATTTTGGTCGCCATACTTTAGAATGGGTATAAATTCACTAGAACGCGTCCAGCATAGATAGACGAAGTTAATCTCTCAAATTATAAACCTGTCATATGAAGAAAGATTGACAAAGCTTAATTATATTCTCAAGAAAGGCGAAGAATAAGGGGTAGCATGATAGAGGTGTGCAAGGGATGAATGGGTATAACAAAGGGAATATTTATAAGGTATTAAAAATATCAACACAAAACAGAACACGAAACAATGGATATAAGTTGGATAAGTTTAGATTTAGGAAAGATCGGGGTAAATACTGGTTGAGTAACAGGTGTGAGAATATGGTTTCTCAAGGGTCTCCCACAGCTGATTTGAATGGCTCATTGCAGTGCACAGTGCACTGATCTTGTGCACAAGCCTATCTCTCTTAATCCTGGATAGTAAACTGGCGTGTTGGGTATCTCCAGAATGCCTACTTAACCAGGAACACTTTTATAATACGGAGGCCGCCGCATGTCCAGGCAGGAAGTAGATACAGGCAGTTAAGCATACTTGCCACAAGAAAGGGTCAGTGAGTACATTGGCTGGTGCGGACCGTGAGAAGAGTAGAGGGGACGCCTGCGAGGCGACAGTGTGACCCTGAGGTCAACCTCAATCAGCGCGATGGAAAATAACAGCTATGACGTATTCATGACGTGTTCATGACGTCACTCCTGCTACTGATCATCGAACGGTCAATATGATTGGTTCCCGCCCATTTGCTGCAATGCTATTGGTCAAATTGTAACTCTTTTTGTGTTGTGCTCCACAAGATGCTCTGAGCCTCAGGAAAGAGTATTCTCGTGAGGGATCTCCTGCACAGAGGACGTGTAGCTGTTCTGTCTATCGGCCAATAGACTGAACACCGTCCATTCCTCACCGTCAAGTTAACTCAGCATCTTTGCGATATACCACGCACTCGCCCAGAATCACGAGTGTGAATATATTGTTCAGAAGCCATAAGTGACAAATCTCCAGAGCGAAACAGACTGGTATCAAGTAACCCCTGGTGACAAAGATCGTTGTGAGTGACTTAGAGTGAACTAAGGCAGTGCCGCCGCCTAAGTAATCTGTGTGTGACTTTACCACAGTGTACCTGTACCACAGTGTACAGTGTAGTGCATGGTACCATATAACCTGCAGCCGCCAGCCGCCGCCGCCCTCGCTGTACCACGTGACGTCACCACCCTGACGGGGAGCCGGTCGGCTGAGCGGACAGCACACTGGACTTGTGATCCACTGGTCCTGGGTTCGATCCCGGGTGCTGGCGAGAAATAATGGGCAGAGTTTCTTTCACCCTATGCCCCTGTTACCTAGCAGTAAAATAGGTGCCTGGGTGTTAGTCAGCTGTCACGGGCTGCTTCCTGGGGGTGGAGGCCTGGTCGAGGACTGGGCCGCGGGGGACACTAAAGCCCCGAAATCACCTCAAGATAACCTCAAGATAACCCTAACTCACCGCCAGTGCCAAGTGTGTGTGCGTGTGTCTGTCTGTTAAGCATACAGCACGCCCTCCTACCCCGTGTCAAGTACGGATTGTGGGAAGCCTGTCGTCAATGGCTCACATCAATACGAGCGCCCAGCTGTCAGGTCACCTACGATTTCTTGCATAAATGTGCCTGAGTGAGTAAGGAAAGGTACCTTATCTGTAAGTACAAGATCTTGTCATTGTTTTATTGTGTCTGTGTTGATCTGAGGGATCAACCACAGTTTTCACCTTCTTATACCTGTCACAGGTCATAGGTGAATCGACGGCGAATACGTGTTTATCTGTGTGGTATCACTGCATTTCACTCGTCTGTGAATGTGAGCTTCACATACACCACACATTTAGTTATTGTGTGTGATTATTATTGTGCATGTTATTACCTGTCCCATTGACAGTGCCATTGTGTTTATTGCATATCATCATTACCCGAGTATCCGGTTGGAACTCTTGTGATCCCTTTGCATACCGGCAGTTAGGTTGCCGTGTTAATGATTGGCTGTCAACTGTGTTAAGTTAGGTGTTTCGCCCCGAGTGGATCCGAATCGATTAGCCGGACGTCAAGAGTCTCGCTAATATAACCATAGCTTTGCTGACGCCAATCTAAAGTAAATCAAGCACCCTTTGTATTAGTGGTTAAGTTAGTAAATAAACTACTGTTAAGCTTTATGCAGTGTTTCCGTTGAGCCACTTCTGAATACTGCAAATCAATTACTCAAGCCTTCAGCTCCAGGTGTCTTCAATACCGACTTGCCTATTATTCACTAAACTATAAATGTGATGAGGACCCTAGGAGTCTCTTAAAGTGTTAAATCATTGAGGAGATTCCAACGATCAACGTGGAGCAGGACCAGGTGAAGCTAGTCTGAGAAGAGACCCTCAAGGACTCTAACTCGACCTTGCTCCCAGGCCCTGTACGGTTGCTCTCGTATTTTCTATTCTGCTAATTCCGACAGTTTCGTGAAGCGTCTGCCACAGGTACATTGGCGACATATGCATTGCAGTCGTGAAAGCAAAAAAGAAAACCCCCACAACAGGGTTGATGGTTTGTGGAACCAATTACCACATAACATAATAGAGTAGGATCCCTTGATTGTTTCAAGCATAGGTTAGACATATATATGAATGAGATCGGTTGGATATAAATAGGAGCAGCCTCGTTTGGGCCAATATGTCTTCTGCAGCTAATTTCATTTTTATGTTCTTATTTTTTCATTCTGCAGAACCTTCTGGAGTTTGCACACCTGCTAGATAAAAACGACGATGAATGGGACTGGCAAGGTCGATATTTCATGTTTTCCTACTCATCTTCAGCAGATCTTGAGCGTCTGGCAGTGATGTATAAACTACAAAAAACTTCAGCTATTCTATTTTTTATGTAAGTGCCTTTTATTTACAAAATCAAGATATATATTCAGTTAGGATAAAATAAGGATGAGAGTGATCAGTGGAAGCTTAGCTTCGGCTTCAGTGGAAGCCTCGGAAATCTTAGAGAGTGCAGTAGTGCCCCAGGTTGCAATTCTTTTGACCATGTCGTGGTATAGTTGTGTAGAGCATGTGCTTGGGAACACCCAGTGCATAGGTTCCAACTCTCATCACGGCTCCTACTGATTTCCTCGAAGTAGTGGCTTTTCTGTGATTATTTGTCTGAAGAGGCATCACCATGTGTTTGTGGGAGAAAGGAATTGGCAAAATGATCAGGGAAAGAGAAGGGCCTCAAAATAACAATTCACTTAGGGTATATTACACTAACAGTAGAAGTCTAAGAAAAAAAATAAACAAGTTAAATGCTCTTATCTGTACAGAAAAAAAAATAGATATTATTGCACTTACCGAAACGTGGATGAATGTTGAAAATAGAGAAATATTAGCTGAATATCAAATAAATGGATTTAAACTATTTCACACAGATAGATATATTAGACGAGGAGGGAAGTAGCCATATATGTTAGGGACAATTTGAAATGTAGTCTCAAAGAGGGAATCAAAACTCAGCAACACACAGAAACTATTTGGATAGATTTAAACGAAAAAGCCAATAATATTATAATAGGAGTTATATATAGGCCACCAAATTTAGACAGAATGGAAGCAAAGCATCTATGGGATAAAATATCTAGAGCATCTAGATCTAACAGTATTTATGTCATGGGTGACTTTAATTTTAGTGGAATAAACTGGGTGAACAAAACAGGGAATAATGAAGCAGAAGATTTTCTAGAATTAATTGACGATTGCTTTCTTACGCAACATATTAAGGAACCAACGCGGGGAAATAATATTTTAGATTTAGTGTTAACTAACAGGGAAACACAAATTAAGGACATGGAAATAGGGAGTGAGCTAGGGAACAGTGATCATAAAGAAATCAGATTTAGCATAGAATGGAATAGATCTGTAGGAGAAAATTCTGTTAAAGTGCCTGATTTTCGAAAAGCTGATTTCAATAGCCAAAGAAATTTTTTGGATCAAATAGGTTGGAATGTCTTGGGAAAGGGGTGTGGGCTAGACGTGAACCCAGCGACAGTTGACGGAAAAGGGGATTTTGATGTGGATTCAAAATATAACCTATTTAAAAATATTCTAAGCGAAGCCCAGGAACGTAGAATACCACATATATTGAATAGATCGAATACTAATGATCCAAAGTGGATAACAAAGGATCTGCAAACCTTATAGGTATAAAGAGAGCGTGGTACAAAAGGATTAAGAATGGGGAAGTTAGTTTAGAACAGGAATTCGTACAACTGGTTAGAAATGTAAAAAAAGAGATAGGGAAAGCAAAAAGAAACTACGAAGTTCGCATAGCAGGACAAGCAAAGACAAATCCTAAAGGGTTTTTTCAGTTATATAAGAACATAAGAACATAAGAACAAAGGTAACTGCAGAAGGCCTATTGGCCCATACGAGGCAGCTTCTATCTATAACCACCCAATCCCACTCATGTACATATCCAACCCGCGCTTGAAACAATCGAGGGACCCCATCTCCACCACGTTACGCGGCAATTGGTTCCACAAATCAACAACCCTGTTACTGAACCAGTATTTACCTAAGTCTGTCCTAAATCTAAACTTATCCAATTTATATCCATTGTTTCGTGTTCTGTCTTGAGTTGATAATTTTAATACCCTATTAATATCCCCTTTGTTATATCCATTCATCCACTTGTAAACCTCTATCATGTCACCCCTAACTCTTCGCCTTTCCAGTGAATGCAACTTAAGCTTTGTTAATCTTTCTTCATATGAAAGATTTCTAATTTGGGGAATTAACTTAGTCATCCTACGCTGGACACGTTCAAGTGAATTTATATCCATTCTATAGTACGGCGACCAAAACTGGACTGCATAATCTAAATGGGGCCTAACCAGAGCAAGATATAGCTTAAGAACCACACCAGGTGTCTTGTTACTAACGCTTCGATTAATAAATCCCAGTGTCCTATTCGCCTTATTACGAACATTCATGCATTGATCCTTTTGTTTTAAATTCTTACTAATCATAACTCCCAGATCCCTTTCGCAATCCGACTTCGCAATCTCAACACCATCTAGCTCGTATCTTGTAACTATACCACCATTACCTAGCCTCAAAACTTTACATTTATTAGCATTAAACTGCATCTGCCAGTCTTTTGACCATTTTAAAACCCTATTTGGATCAACTTGAAGTGATAGCGAGTCTTCTTTCGTGTTAATTTCCCTACCGATTTTTGTATCATCTGCAAATTTGCAGATTTTGCTACTCAAACCTGAATCTAAATCATTTATATATATTATAAACAATAGGATCCCAGGACAGAGCCCTGAGGTACTCCATTAACAACATTATCCCACTCTGACTTAACCCCATTTATACTAATTCTCTGTTTCCTTTGGAATAGCCATCCCATAATCCAACTTAATATAGCACCCCCAATACCATGAGCTTCTATTTTTTTAATTAGTCTTTCATGTGGCACTGTATCAAAAGCTTTGCTAAAGTTAAGGTACACAACATCACAATCCTTACCACTATCAACTGCCTCAACTATGCTGGAATAAAAAGTTAGCAAATTTGTTAAACATGAACGGCCATTTGTAAAACCATGTTGCGACTCACTTATTAATTTATGTTTTTCAAGATGAAGCCGAATTGTATTTGCAATTATTGATTCAAGTAACTTTTCCACAATAGACGTTAGGCTAATTGGCCGATAGTTTGACACAAGTGATCTATCTCCTTTCTTAAAAATTGGTACCACATTAGCTACCTTCCATGACTCTGGCACTCTGCCTGACTCTGTTGATTTATTAAATATGGTAGACAGTGGCTCGGAAAGCTCCTCTTTGCATTCTTTAAGCACCCTGGCAAACACTTCATCCAGCCCTGGAGATTTGTTTGGTTTTAGTTTTTCTAATTGTTTAATTACATCCTCCCTGGTAACTGCTAAACTAGTCAACCTGTCCTCATCCCCACCCACATAGACTTGTTCGGCTGAAGGCATATTGTTAAGTTCTTCTTTAGTAAATACAGATATAAAATATTTGTTAAAAATACTACTCATCTCCTTGTCATTATCCGTTATTTGACCTGTCTCAGTTTTTAATGGACCTATCCTTTCCCTAGTCTTAGTTCGATATAACTGAAAAAACCCTTTAGGATTTGACTTTGCTTGCTCTGCTATGCGAACGTCATAGTTTCTTTTTGCTTTCCTAATCTCTTTTTTAACATTTCTAACCAGTTGTATGAATTCCTGTTCTAAACTGACTTCCCCATTCTTAATCCTTTTGTACCACGCTCTCTTTTTACCTATAAGGTTCTTCAAATTATTTGTTATCCACTTTGGGTCATTAGTATTCGATCTATTCAATTTGTATGGTATACTATGTTCCTGTGCTTTGTTTAGAATATTCTTAAATAAGTTATATATTAAATCCACATCGAAATCCACTTTTACGTCACCTATCGCTGGGTTCATGTCTCGCTCCAAGACCGGCCCACACCCCATACCCAAGACTTTCCAATCTATTTGACCCAAAAAATTTCTTAGGCTATTAAAATCGGCTTTTCGAAAATCTGGCACTTTAACGGAATTTTCTCCTACAGGTCTATTCCATTCTATGCTAAATCTGATTTCTTTGTGATCACTGTTCCCTAGCTCACTCCCTATTTCGATGTCATTAATTTGTGTTTCCCTGTTAGTTAACACTAAATCTAAAATATTATTTTCCCACGTTGGTTCATTAATGTGTTGCGTAAGAAAGCAATCGTCAATTAATTCTAGAAAATCTTCTGCTTCACTATTCCCTGTTTTGTTCAACCAGTTTATTCCACTAAAGTTAAAGTCCCCCATGACATATATACTGTTAGATCTAGATGCTCTAGATATTTCATCCCATAGATGCTTTGCTTCCATTCTGTCTAAATTTGGTGGCCTATATATAACTCCTATTATAATATTATTTGGTTTTTCGTTTAATTCTATCCAAATAGTTTCTGTGTGTGGCTCAGTTTTGATTCCTTCTTTGAGACTACATTTCAAATTGTCCCTAACATATATGGCTACTTCCCCTCCTCGTCTAATATATCGATCTGTGTGAAATAGTTTAAATCCATTTATTTGATATTCAGCTAATAGTTCTCTATTTTGTACATTCATCCACGTTTCGGTCAGTGCAATAATATCTATTTTTTCTGTGCAGACAAGAGCATTTAATTCGTTAATTTTATTTCTTAGACTTCTACTGTTAGTGTAATATACCCTAAGTGAATTGTTATTTTGAGGCCCTTCTCTTTTCCTGATCAGTTTGCCAATTCTTTTCTCCCACGAACACATACTTTTATTACCTCCTTCCTCCAAATCAATTCCCATACCACTATCTACTAAGAGTTTAAACCCAAACAAACACCTCTAACCACTGGTTCCAACGAGTTCGCAACAGCAACAACCCCAGCCCTCGATAGATGCACCCCATCACGAGCATACATTTCATTTCTTCCATAGAAGTGTTCCCAGTTGTTTATGAAAGATATTGCATTTGATTTGCAATATCTTTCCAGCCGGCAATTGACACCAAGTGCCCTCGACATCCATTCATTTCCCACTCCCTTTCTTGGAAGAATGCCACATATGATCGGGATTCCTCCCTTGCTCCTAACTAATTCAATGGATGTCCTGAATCTCTGTATTAGTTCCTCACTCCTAACTCGCCCAACATCATTACCCCCTGCACTAATACAAATAATGGGTTTGTTCCCATTTCCCGTCATAATATCATTCATGCTTCCAACAATATCACCAATTCCAGCTCCCGGATAGCAAACCCTTAATCTGTTCCCCATATCTCTGGCACAAAACGTTCTGTCTAAATACCTCACCTGGGAATCTCCCAC